AAAGAGACGAGAAGGACAATCAGCACAAGAATCAAAGAACAACAGCATCTATGCAGGAAAATGGATAAGGAAAGATCGGAGATAGCGGAACACATCATCCTGACCGACCACACAATTGACTGGAACACAACGGGAAAACTGGCCTCATGTGAGGAGAACATCAGGAAACGGAAAATCAGGGAGGCTGTGGGCATCCTGTTTTAAGGAAACCTGATGAAGAGAAGATTGGAAAGAGAAGATTCAGCGATAATTTCGCATAATGTCTGGGCAGACTTGGCTATTTAGTGAGGAGGGCAATTACAGGAAGCTTGGAGCCAAGACAACTATTCATCGACCAGAAGAGACGTCGCCAAGGAGAGGAGCACGAGGGACAAAGTGAAATGAGGAAAATGCGATTGTAGTGAGAGGAGTCAACTCTGGAATCAGCCTGAAAATTTAGCGCACTATGTTCACTTGTGGGATTTGGTATGGGAAATTTAAGGCCAAAGCTATAGGTGGGCCAGATATAGGTCACCAAAGCGTGCATTTTGAGTGTCTGTGTCTGGAGGAGAGACGACTGGTGACAGGCTTGATCACGGAGGATACCAGCCAACACACATATGAGCATCATCATAGTACCCTAAGATCAGATGGGATTGTCAACTTGAAGGAAGGGAGGAGTGTGCTTTTCGCGATTCAGAGGGAAAAGGCGGTTATCACTCAAGCCGGACACAAGGTTCCAAATAATGAGACAAACTGTGGGTGGGGATGAGTCATGGGTGTGAAGCTTAGGGAGAGAAAGATCCCCAAGCATTGGCCTGGACATCGGCATAGTCGGGTACGGGAAATGAAGGCTCTTAGGCAGCCAAAGTTCATACATGCGAAGAAAAGTTGGGTTTCGAGGAATCTCTTGTTCCATAATTGTTGAGTTTACTTCCATTTCGAGTGAAAGTGTTGCGTGAAGAGATTCGAAGGTCGGTTCCACCAGAAAATGACGGCGGATTCCTCTTGACTAGCTGACGATTGGCTTTACTGGAACATTCATGCTGGCGCGGTTTCTGAGGTAATCTTCTTCGATTCCGGTGAAAAGGTGCTAAGATTTCGTCTGTCATATGACCAACATCATCAGAGCAAGAAATCATCATCACAACCAAATTCAAGCTAACGAGTCAAGAAAACTCACCGGTACATCCCTACCGATTGACAAGCGGGGTGGGAGGAGGGCTGGATGAAGGTCAAGAGTTCTGCCAATGGCATTTGGTACCGGTGGTGGAGAGGATTACGCTTTACTAAATCCACCTGTAGCGACACACTCTCGGGCGACATTGGTGGAAATGAGAGCATATAATTGTGAATAGTTAGATGGGCCATATGAAATGGGGCTGAGAGAAAGAGGAGGATATAACAAAAAATAGGGCTGAGTAGTGGTGCCAAAAAGGGTTGAACGGAAAATTGGTCAAGGGGATTGCCTTTACTTGTCACTTTTATAAGTTGTAACTCTGTGCTGATGATGCCACCTCTCACTGAGAATGCCGGCGAAACGTTTGTTAGTGTATCAAGTCAATGGTCCTAAACTGGAATTCACGATTATTATGGCACATGACGCAGGACTAGGTACTTTCCACAAAGTCTTTCTGACGCTCCGACCAAGTTACGAAAGCGAGGTCAAACCAACACTCCAAATATTCTTATTGTTTCGATTATTTCTTGATTTGATTTTATTGCCTAAATGCCTTCATTTTATTTCATTTTGCATTTGTGACGCTTATCCATCCTTGTCGCTAGACCATCCGCCATATTGTCTAATTTGAGAATTGATAGACTTACAAATAGAGGGTATTGTGTCGCTTTGAAAAGTAGGCTCTTATCAATCATAGTTCTAAGTACTCTCACATTCAATATTCCCTGGTTCACCCTCTTCTGCTCCCTTTATATATCTTTCCCACACGCATATATATAAATGCCTCATCACCTTAACCAGATGCTTGTCCAACATTATGGAATTGGGGTGCTGGTTGAAAAAAGGATCATTTAATTATGATGACTGAAGAAAGATTTGGCACTCTGCCCTACTTGCTTTGAGCTAGCACTGCTAATTTCGTACATGTGAAGGCACATAATCACACACAAATATAAACATACGCATGTTTTGAGCTTTAACTGACCAAATTCCTTTATTCCTTCATCAAAAAAATATGGGCCCAGGCTATATGATATACTGCATGTAAGAATAGGCCGGTGAGTCTTCCTGATTCGTCGGTTTGAATATGGTCGTAAGCATGTGGCCCTGCTCTGACGGTTTCAATAATGTGCTTAGTACATTTTCAAAGAAATCGGAGTAGATTGTGAAGAAAAGTTAGGTTTTGAATAATGCCTTAGTGATTTAACTCGACTCAAATATCCATTTTAAAGGTAAATTTGGATGGAAATAATTCGTGAAATGATCTGACTGGAAAGAGAATGAGGAATGATACCGGTATATTTTCATTTCGTTTGAAAAGGTGAGTCGAAGGTATTCGTAAATTGGCCTTACCGGATACCGAAAGATCATTGCAGTGGGCTTGTGAATATTGAATTGTGCAAAGAAAACTTAGGCTCTCAATCCCGCGAACCCGATCCGTCCGTACTGGGCTTTCGTCCATCACGTGACGGAGATCGAGAGGTGCAAAAAGTAAGGAGAATTTCTGCCGGCCACCTTTCTTAGCTTAATGTTCTTTGGCCATTGTTGGTAAATAATGATTTCTGACTCTAACAATAAGTGGAGTGGAGGCATGAAGGCAAAGTTAATGTGGTTAGAGCCTAACAACCAAATGTATCA